CTCTCTCTCTCTCTCTCTCTCTCTCTCTCTCTCTCTCTCTCTCTCTCTCTCTCTCTCTCTCTCTGCGCGTAATCATTTCTTTTTTCTATTTCGGAATTTACTTGAATATAGCATTGAAGGTTTATTTCTAGATTTCGAAACAAAAACGTATAAAATTATATATAATGTAACTATAATTTAGCTTATAAAAATTATATCGGTTTCAATCTTTGCTTCAAATGAAATTTAACGTGAATTTTTCGACATCTTGTGATACATCGTCGTGGATGTTTTCTAGTAATGTGAACGATAGCGATTATCATAGATGTACGAGCAGCATCATGCTAATCTCACTCTATTGGCGAGAAAAATTACATTATCTGCAATGGTAAATGCAAAATTGTAGGACTGGATGCTGGGCGTATCGGTTACGAGATAAAATCCGAGGAAAACGTCTTACGACTGGTTATTTAACCTTTGGGCGAGTTTAGAGACACGTATACATGCAGTTAACTCTCGGGCGACAGAGGAGTAATGAGTCGCGTTAATATAGAGGCACACTCAGCAAAATGATTGATGAGACTGATAGATAACGCTACTTCCGAGTCAGGGGTCTCTGGAGCGCGTGAATGATGACAGCTTTTAACGAGGAACACTGATGCCAAAAAGTAAAGTAGAAACGATCGCATATTTCCAACGCGGAAGAAATCGCCAGGTATAAGTTCGTTTAACTTTTCGCCAAGCAGGTTTTTATCTGTTCTACGATTAATTTAAATAGTCGTAGATCAATCATAAATTACGAGTATTTTACTTCATTTAAATTGTAAAACGCTTTGAATATTTTCCTAGGATGATTGCGATAGCGCTTTGTAAAAACAATGACATTAACAGTGCACCTTTACATTAACATTAAGAATCATGAATGGTCAATACTATTTATCAAAATACTGAATCATTTTTTCCGCAAGAAATTAATGAAAAATCATTGATATATTAATTTGAAATATGACAATTGCTCAAACTTTTTTAATCACAAGTTTTTGATCGAATCAAAGATTTTGAAAGTATAACAAAAGAGCATCTATGTTTTGCGTAGACAATATAAAGTCTAAAATCGAAACGTAAGATGTCTTTTAAAGTATTTTAAACACATCTTTTAGATCCAGTTTCACAGCTCACTATTAACTCTTAACCGAAGTCCAACTCATTTCTCATCTTTTTCAATTCTAGAATTAGAAAGAGCTAAGGAATAAGTTAAACCTCGGTTAAAGGTTAACCATGAGTTGTGAAATTGGACCTCATTGGATTCTCACGAATCGTCTTTCAGATATCTTATGTCCCAATTTTAGACTATGTGTTGCCTGAATACAATACACGTATTAATTCCAGTTTTAAAATAAATAATAATAATGTTATGTATCACGAAGATTCGATTCTGATTCATTCGTCTCATCATCGAAATATTTTCGTCATTTTCCCATAAATGTCTTACATCACGAGAAGTATACAAGAAGGAGATAAAAAAAGGACATGAACAAGCAAGAAAACGGTCTTGCGGAGCCAAGAGCGCCGTTTCGCGAACGGTAAAACTTCGCAATCTTACGTGCGGCGAATCATCCTGGAATCGGCTGCCCCCGAGGCATCCGGCATTGCCGATTTTTACCCACGCGACCTACGAAGTTTCCGACTTCGCCCAATGATGATTCCTAATTGCAAGAAGCCTCAACGGCACGCAACGCGTACCCGGAGCACGCATCGCGAACGTTAGATCACCCGCATACTGGCGCGTAGGAGATCGTAAAAATACTCGGACGATTTTATAATAAGGCGAAAGTACCATATATACCACGGTATGTGAATAATGTCGATAATGCTTTCAATATTTGGCAGGTAGTTGTTGATAAGCGCTGGGAAATATCGAAATTACGATCGCTCTGAATATAATAGCGCGAGAGTAGCGGATTTATTAACTATACACTGCACCGGCCGTATACCTATAATCAGATACGACAGATCATAGACGGTTGTAATTCTTATGCGTAATCCTGCAACTCCGTACCCAATCGTATCTCGAAATAGTCCGTGAAACGCGATATTCGCCTTATAATACATAACAGTCTGATTAGCGAAACCGATTTTTCCCCACTAATCAATTGGACATGAAGCTATAATAGCCGCATATTAGAAACATAGAAACACATGATTAACTAGCGTGCGGTAAATTGAGTTTGTTACGGTGGGCGTGTCGATGTTGCGGTTTTTGCATAATGAGAAACGAGACGGGACAAACGCATGGAACGGAATCGTGATTTTTAAGGCACCTTAATCGACACATAATGACTACCACTATTTCAATATTCTCTCGAATCGGAGAGTCCGCGCGAGCATATTTCTCTCGCACGAAGGCGAGTAGTAGGCTAGTGTGCCACGCATGATATACTGGGTTTTATAACGAATGAATCGCGATAGAGACTTCCGCGATAGGAAGCTCTGCGCGATTCAATTACCGCTTCGTCGGAGCAATGGAGTACCGCATCCAATAACTATTATGCACGCCCACGTAGACCGTCTCTCTTTTTCTTTACGTCTTGTACGAGTTATCGGTTGCTGCTGATGCGCGACTCCCGCATTATTCTTTTCGTGCACGCAACACCAACGTAGCGTATAATTTCCGACATGGACTGCCAACGGGAATACGCCGCGTGAGTGATCATTACTGCAAATTGCAACAATGTAGCGAAGGAACGACTCGCCGATTTCGGTGATTTCATAAATGCGCTTGCGGACCGACGGGGAAAAAAGGTAGAACGTAGAGCGTAGACAAAAATCACAGCGCAAATTACAAGGATCATCACCGACCGACGGGGAGAAGCATCTTATTGAACCCTTTGATTCTTTCGACCTCTGCGCGAGTCGGCGGATACGCGACATTCGTTCACGTGCGTTCATTCACTGATGCACTTACGCGTTATACGCGCCTATTTTCCGCAGTCGTGAGGCGCATTCGCACGCGTGTCGTGCGGTTCGTAGAAGCAAACGGAACGAAGGAGGAACAGAGGAACTGACGATGGCGCAAGGCGCATGCCAGCGCGCTGCGCTCTCACGTTATGCGCGTATAGAAGTCGGATAGAGAGGCGGGCGCAACTCTCGCGCGTATTAAAGCGTTACGGACCGCGTGCCCCTAAATCACGCCTCGTAAATTGTCGACTGTCCGACGGTATCATCGCGGCGTCGAGTTTCGCCGTGATAAATTCGCTAGAATTTATTTCCTGCGAGAGCGAGTAAAGACTGCCGTTTACGGAAGAGGGAAAGATTGTCACCTCGATGTTCCCACTAATTTCCCGCCGACATGCACGAGAGCAAGTCTCACGCGCGACAATTACCAGCGAGGAAATCATAAAGAAGATCGTAATGTATGTATACTCTTTAAGATTAGCGATGGTTTATACATGGTGGGAACGTACATACTTCGTAATGTGTTGCGAGATATAATTCAATAACTATATTGCAGTTCAAAATAATGTTCGTCTGCAATTTTCATTATATTATACGTCGTCACATAGTTAATATAGTGACGGAATAAATTGCTCGGGCAGTACGCCGTGATATCGATGATTTGCTTAGACTATTCTTCAAGTGTGACAACATTAGTCATCCATAAATAGTTGTTTAAAAATATATACATAAATTATTAAACATTATAATGCGTGCGTAAAATTATCATTTTTAACACATCCAGACGACAATTTTAAGAAATTGTCTATATAATAGCGGACAATCAGTTCCGTGATTATACGAGTACATATATTTATCTTATAATCCAATTAATTTATTAACGAAATAATTTTATCTACAGGATATCGATCAATTTGAAACTAAGATCTAAACAGATTGTTTCTTTTACTACGTGCCTGATTTTCTCAATATGGACGATCGTGCTCTATCAGCAGGACCTACGTCAGTTATCATGTTGCTAGTGAGTAGATACATGTAAAGAGTATCTTGTTACTTAACTTGTAATACCTACTTTTATGCTCAGTAAAACCTAATGGTCATATACTGCAAGGAGTATTATTTCATTACTTGTTCTTTCCGTACTGATGAAAGTTTGCGCACACAAAAATATATTATTTTGCAACGTTCCGTTTTGGTCCGTATTTATTGTTTATGCGGTTTTAATGAGAATAAAGAACGAGTCGCCAAAAGAGAGTTAAAATTAAAAAAAAAGAAGTCGCGCTCTTCTGGTTTTCAACCAAGAAAGAGAAGGTACACGAGTAGATCCGCAGTGGGGCGAAAGCGTTGCATCACGTAATTAATGCATGTTGAGTTCGTTGACTGGATACCGAATACACGTAATTCCGGAGAACGATCTACCGTACGAGGTAAGGAAAGCTCTTAGAAATCGAGTTGGACTTCGTCCGATGTGACTCAGAGATGTAAATTCGTCACGACGACGCACCCTGATGACGTACTTCTACGCAATTTTATTTGTAAATCATCAATTAACGAAAGATAAAAACATTTTTTATCTCACACGTTTAAACGTATATAAATATACATGTATACT